ACCTTATTTCTCAGAAAAATGGGGTTAAAGGATAACAGGAAAGAAGTGGGGACATACCTGTGTAGCCTTAATTAGGCTAATATAAATCATACAAAAGTGAACTTCTAAAAAGCCAATATACTTACCTGTAAGCGTTTTGGGCATTTCTGATCATCAAATGGAATGTAAGCAATCAAGATGTATTAATGGAAAATGGTTGGGATAATTCTTATTTGCATACTGTACAAGTTTTATTAAAATCAAAATTTAAAAATACCTTCCCAACAACAAAAAATAGAATTGCTATTATATAATAAACAAGCATAGGGCATAGTAACTCCTCTTTACTGTTGTGTGTCCTAGGAACATTTTGCACTTTTACGGCTATGGCTTCTCGTGTTCTGAAAGGTAGTGTAGCTCATGATCAAGGAGCATAGACTCAAGAGTGTTGTGGGGCGTGGGGTGGGGTGGGGGACCTGGGCATGAAACCTGGGCCCACCACTTACTTACTGTGTGATTTGGGGCCTCAATTTCCTTACCTGTAAAATTAGATAACAATAGTACCTGTCTTCATAAGGGACTGTTAATAGACATTGCCATTATAATTATTATTAAACATCAATATTCTGTTTCTTCCTTTGTAGATGATGTTAAAAAATCGTTAAGGGAGTTAGATGTCATGAATTCTGTTATCTCCCAGCTCGCTCCAGAAGGTAACTTTGCATCCTCCATCTGTTTTGAAAATAGGACTGGTTTATTTTTTTCATTTGATTAAGCTACTTATTGAAAACAGTTTATGAAATATTAATTGTGAATTGTTGTTAAAATCTTTCAAATCATAGCTCCATTTTGAGTTTATAAAAAAGGTGGGTTCTAAGCAAGGTAAGATTTGTGGAGCTTTGATTTTCAAAGAGTATTTTAAAGTAGTGGCTGAATAAGCATTTAGCATCCTTGTATTATTTATTTTTGACATGCAGAAGAAGCAGTTATCCATGAGTTCGCTAGTCTTTGTCTAGCAAACATGTCTGCTGAGTATACCAGTAAAGTGCAAATATTTGAACATGGTGGATTAGAGCCCCTCATCAGACTCCTGAGTAGCCCAGACCCTGATGTCAAGAAGAATTCTATTGAATGCATTTACAATTTGGTACAGGTAAGACTCATTTCTAAAAACTGTTTTGACAAAAGCTGATTACAGAATTTTAGTTCCCATTAAAAAAAGAAAAAAGCTTTAAAAAATAGCAGTTTTGCATCATCCAGCTCTTCTCAGTACTGTTTAGTATTTATTACTCAGAGGAAAAGTAATGGAAGTTTACTGTAGGTGATACCTTTCATTTTTCACATTTTATAAGTAATTATCTCCTATGAAAGAGTATATTAGAAATTTAAAAGATTAGAATGGCATGCAAATTAAGATGGGATTAGACTTGGAAAATGTACTTCTTTCTGAAACAGGAAACTTGATATTCATGTTGAATGAAGTTTAACCTGGGCAGTTACCTAGTGGTCTAACTCTGGTGGTCTAAGCACACTGGATGAAATATATACCCTATTCAGTGTACCAAGATTTTGGATTAGATTTATTTATTGGTGAAAACCTAGTGATTTGAGTATGCTGTACAGAATTCATTGTTCATAATAGCATTACACTACCTCCTCGCTGAGTTTCCCTTTGTAATAGAAAGTGCCCACCTTCCCCTCCCCCACCATCCTGTCCTCTGTACCCCCTTTTCCCCCCAA